CTTGTGGAATGAGTCTGAGCCACAGACTCATTCCACAAGCCTGGGCCTGGGCCAGCCTTGCTCAGAACAACCAGACTCCCAGAGACTTCCAGGTAGTGTCGGATCAGGACTGGTATTTCTTCAGCCTCAGCTGCTCATCTGCAAATTAGGAATGAAAATATTTCCTGTCTGTCAATCTTCCTCTGTGTTCTTCAGATTGTTAACCCTCCTAACAGCGGCTGGTACTTTTAATGCACCTGTACAGTACATCATGCAGCAGGAGCCAATTTCACAGGGGTTCTGTAATCAATAATTATCCTAATACAAACTAATGATAATGAGGTTTTATAGGGCAGCCTTCTTTTCTTCTCCCTAAAATATTGATCAGCTGTTATAATTGTATACACAGAAAAATTTAGACAACTCCAGAACAGTTTATATCCTCTCTGGAGCCAGGAGGCAGAAAATACTGCACCTTTTCCTGAAGATTCACTTTTTCATGTTTAATGAGCTTCCTACTGGTAAGTGCTCCTCCTCCTCATGGCAGAAGCTTGAGTGGAGGAAACTTTATCAGAATTGCTTTGCCACTGGAATCTCCGGAGGAAGGAAGAGAACGTTTCACAGTTTACAGCAGTCTTCCTTTACAAGGACTGTCTGAGACCTCTTGTCTGCAGCAGATAAAAAAGCCACACAAAAAAAAACAAAACACCAAAGACAATATGGCAATAAGCCTGTAAAAACTCCAGTCTATAAAAAGACTGCCTCTTTTTGTTGGCAGTATTCCCTTATGCATCACTGACATGGGGCTCTTTTTGGTTTTTCCCAGGGAATTCTGCCATCCAACAATTATATTTTTCTCTCTCCTTTTGATATAATGGAAGATGATGCAAAATTTTCAGAAAGCAAGCAAGCCTGAAAAGCATTTTCTTTTCAAAAGCACACAACTGAGAGGTTAAAAATCTTATTATTAAAAGTCAGACACTTAAAAACTTCAACCCTGTTGTTCAGGAAGACTGTGATTCCTATGAGCTAAAGATCATATTGGATCCTAAGTTCCATAGGTTATTTCAGGAAAAATATCTCTGATACCGTTGCTTAGGTTGAGCTGCAGACAGACAAGCTAGAAATGCCAGCCAGCCTCTTAGCTGGTTTCTCTGTTACCAATTAATCCTCTTCTCACTGTTATTTCATATTTGTGCTTTTTCCCTTCCTTTGCCAATTAATTCGAGAATATAAGAGCCTCATTTCTTGTGCTGCACTGAGCTGGGAGCAGTTGTCCACTCTCCTCTTGTGCTACATAAACACAAACATAGCTCTTTAAAATTAATCCAGTGCATCTCTGATAGAAAAATGGGAGACACTAAATCTAAATCAAGCCAAATTTCTAGAAATGCTGAACATGTTCTTGTACACTCCAGACCTTCATTTCCACAAGTGAAATCCCAGCTTTTCCCCAAGTGAATAGGAACACTCCAAATCACCTCTTTTTCCTTTACAGAGAGGTGCCTAACAAGGATTATCTAACAGCAATTAGTTTTCCAGTTAGAGGTTTACTTGATAGCCCATTCTGGGACATAAAGGGTAAGAAAAGGTTATATAAACACATTAGGAGTAAGAATAAGGAAAACCAGTCAGGTCTGCTATTTAAAGAAGGACAGCAATTGACACAGGACATGTCAAATGTCATTTCTTTCTATACAGAGAAAAGTTAACAGATGCTCACTGCAATAGTGTTAAGCTTTGGGGAACAATTGGTGTCATGCAAAGAGAACAGGTCAGAGCATGGAAGGACTGGAGTGAAGACTATTCAGATTAGTTACAACAAATCAGATTACCGGTTAAGGATCCAACCAGATTATCTCCAAACTCTCAGTAATTACCTTTCAGAGTACAAGGAAATTTATAAGAGGGATGACAAACAGTAAATATTGCCTCTCTGTATCTAGGAATGGAAGATCAAGGTAGTTGGAAACTAGCACCAAGAAAAGAGACTAGAAAAATATTAAAGAAAAGAACTGAAAAATCAGCAGAAGGCTACTGAGCTGTCAAGAACAGCTGACATTGATAAAATTGATTTATTCTTGGCAGATCAATCTAGTCTGTACTTCAAGGCTGAGTGAGTAACAAAGAAACAATAGTGTGCTGTAGTTTGCTATAATTAAGACTTTTAATACTGTCCCATGAGACATTCATATAAGCAAACAGGTGAAATAGTGCTTAGCTGAAATCGCCATAAAATGAGCATGCAAGAGATGTAACCACTACTCAGAGGGCAGTTTTTCCAAAGATCACTGTCAGTCTGAGAGGACTATACAAATGAGCCCTGCAAGGGCTTATCCTGAACTAACTTGAACCAGTTTAAGTTGGATGGCAAAATATCAACTAAAATAGTTAGAAAATTTGCTGATGACACCAAGCTTTAAGGAAGTGCAAGGGTCCCGAAGGACCAATG